TACATTTTTATACTTTTATATCGATATTTTTTATTATAAGTTTAGTAAGATGCACAGTCGGGGGGGGGGAGTACTTTTTAGCCGGAAAAAACATTTCACTGTGTGTTGTACTAGTTATAACTACATGTGACAAATAAATAAAGAATTGAATTGAATTGTTTCGGTGCAGCAGCTCACTCCCTAAATTGAAATCCTAGTTCAGCGTGTGCACCGTGACGTAGTTTCTGCTCGGGGCAGTTCAAGGGTTTTGTACTGCACTGGTGGCACTAAAGCTTATTCTCTGTTATCCACCTCCAGTCTGAACATGTGGAAGCTATGTTGCCTTCTTAACAGAACTATAACATGTCCTCTGCAACTGCTGTTTTCTCCTGAGGTTGAATATCTTCAGGCTACCAACCTGTAATATTTCCTGCCTTGAAAAATTAGTCTCTCCATCCAACTGTGTATAAGATGCTGTCGAAAGACCTGCTTTGTGAAGAATAGCCAAACCGAGTGAAAGGCTAGTGGACGTCAGGGCGTTCCTGCCCAGGTCCGTCTGCTGCGCTCCCAGTTAAACACACTGGAGTTGTTAACCCAGTCTGGTTTTGCCTGAAGATACAGAAGAGCATTTCAGTGAAACTGCCCCAGAGTCAATATAGTGTTTGTTCCGCCCCTCGTCCACAGTGATTGGACGACTGGGTAAAGTTACAGATGTAGGTGACATGTTTAACCTTTGACCTTCAGCAACCAAAAACAAAAGCATGTAGTCTTCAAACAGCTGGGAAAGAGTAACCGCCTCAGGGGACAGTGTTAGCTTGTATGCATGTGACAGTGGGAACATCAGTGGATATCATCCATCTTCAGATTACTTCAGACGACAGAGAAAGTTTGGGATATTTGCATTTTCAAAGTTTCTGGGGAAACGAGACAACAAATCTGTGGATTCCTCTACATCAGAGCCATTTCTCTGACACACTGTTCTTACTGCATCGCACAGTTTACTAGCTTGGCATATTTAGTGTTTGAACGCCTGGACCTACTGACCATCAGCTGCACCACATGGTAGTATGCATATACTATTATATATTGTACATATATTTATTAGTTTCAGATGTAGCCATTCTTGTATTTTGCACAACTCTGTTGCTTGTGAAGCTCGCACACAAGAATTTCACTCACATGTGCTGTACCAATGTGCTGTACCTGCACATGTGATGTGACAATAAAAGTGATTTGATTTGAACAGGCTTTAAAAAATGTGGTAAACAGGAAGTCGAACATTATATCGTTTCATGTTGATAACAATCAGAATAACTGTGTACTGTTTGTGTCTCATGATGATCTCAGCACCAAACTGAGTGGCCTGACTGTGAATCTGGGCCGTCAGCGTCTAAGACAGTGACACAGATCATCATCCATCCAAACTACAACTCTGATACCAATGACAACGACATCTGCCTCCTGCAGCTCTCCTCACCGGCGGCTTTCACCAACTACGTTTCTCCCGTCTGCCTGGCAGCTTCAAGCAGCACCTTCTACAGCGGTGTTAACAGCTGGGTCACCGGCTGGGCCGATATAGGGAGTGGAGGTCATAAAGACATCTGACTGTTTCAGAGAAATTTGACTATAATGCAGGAAACAAGTGTGCTGTCTCAGAAATATTTAGAGCAATAAAATGTTTCCATGAGGTTAAATCTGTCGAGAGTTCAAAACAAGAAAGAATCATTATGTGAATTAACCAGTCTGGAAGTGCTGAATCTGCACCGAGTCACAAAGATCCCTGGTTGAAAGAAAGTATACTTTCTGTGTAGCTGACACTGCCCCCAAGTGGTATTAGACAGTACTACATGTTGACATCCATCTAATGTCTGTGTGAAGTTACGTTTATTTTTTTAGCACGTTTAAAACCAGCAGCTGTTGTGCTTCTTCTAAAACAATGAGGTGAAGTGAGGTCATTACACTACACAAGTTAACCAGGCGACTGTGTTCTGCAGGGAGCTATAAACCCAGCAGACAAACACATGTCTCCATCTTTGCACACATGACTGCACTTTACATTTGGTGGAGCCATCATTTTGCTTGAAGGTGTATTTAATCACTCACATCATTTATTACAAACTGATATATTTATTTTACCCCTTCAGTGTCCCTTCCTTCTCCACAAAACCTCATGGAGGTGGAGGTTCCTGTTGTAGGAAACAGACAGTGTAACTGTGACTATGGAGTGGGAAACATCACTGACAACATGATCTGTGCCGGGCTACGTACAGGAGGAAAGGACTCCTGTCAGGTGATCGCTGTTTCCTGTGTTTGGCACATTTTCACCTTCTACAGTTTCCTCTCCTCAGCTTTGCTCTCAAAGGAGGATTCAGGAGGTCCAACGGTGAGCAAGCAGAACGGTCGCTGGATTCAGGCGGGAATCGTCAGTTTTGGGGAAGGTTGTGCTGAGCCGAATTTTCCAGGAGTCTACACCAGAGTATCGCAGTACCAGACCTGGATCATGTATGTATATATATATATATATATATATATATATACATACATACATACATACATACATACATACATACAT